TCATACACAATCCCCTGATTATAGCTAAACGAGTATAAATAACATATATTCTGAAATGAAGTGGGAGAAATGTCAACACAGTAACAGAATCTGGATTAAATCTTCTAATCAGCACTGAGTTTGGTGCGTTCTGAGCTGTCAATGACCTGTCAAAATCCACAAAGGTAGCCACGCCACTAAAGCATACCCTGCTTTAATGGTCTATTTTACTCAGACATGGGACCTATGAAATCATTTACTAAATCAACATCATGCTGTATGGAAGAAGAGTGAAACTAGAGATTGGAACCATAAACTCATCATAAAAACTATTTATTGAGCTCATAAATCAAGTGAGAAGTAGGTTAATTTCATTTTTAGACTGCATGGTATTGTTATTGCAGCCAATGGTACCCTGCTGGCCTTTACATAGAATGCAGGTTTTTAATACACTTTCCATGTTGGCTTCACTTCAGACTTCTGGTCAATGGTTTTATGTCTTTATGTCTTTCTTCTTTAGAAAAACCTGAATCTTCAAGACAGAAATATAATCTAATAAGAAATAATAACATAATAATTAAAAAAAAGTTAATTTAAATTTAAATTGGGTTCACAGCTCACTGTGAACAGTCTTTGAAAATTTTGTTTTCAAACACAAAGATTTTCTGTAGTTTTTCTAATTAAGAAAAGTAAATAACCTTAAAGGATTATAGGTTGGCAAAACTTCTTTGAGTTTATTTCAATACTTAAGTGTTTTTAAGAGTTTGACTTAAAAATTCAGTTAATGCAATTCCAATACTGTATGCAGAAATATTCAATTACACTAGGTGAATAAAACACTTTTGTACTCCAAAAACTGCATTGAATTAGCATAAAGTGGGAATGTGTGCAGAGGGGAGACTCATGGTTACCCACTGAACCCATTTTCATTCAGATATCTCAAGGTCAGAGGTCAGGGGATGTCTTTGAAAGCTACCATGCCAGTTTTTCCATTTGCCTAATGGGTGTTAGGTCATCTAGTTTCATATGATACTCGCAGTACAAAGTGAATTCTGTGGCTTTAGAGGAGATCTGTTAAGTCTGAAAATAACCTTGGAAATTTTATTGTGATGTCATAAGGGTTATGGCCTTTGAGACTAGGGGTGTTTTCCATTCAGCAAAACATGGCTACTTGCTTCCCTCACTCATGTCTTAGTCAAGCTCCTGGCAACAGTTGGAAAGCTTAAAAGAGCTGTATGATTGAATCATTGTATCCCATTCATGACAGGAAGTTAGCCGGCTCGGTCAGCACAAGTCTCGGTCAGGCACACTCAACCTGATTGGCTGGACTCTACTGAGCATGCTCTATGGGCCCAAAAACTCAGAAAATTAAGCGCCATCTTTGAATGTGGTTTCCAGTTCTCCTTTAGGTCTCAGCTCCTCCCAGCAGCAATGTGAGGACGAGATGGGGAAGTTATATTTACCAAAACAGGACATCCTCGCTCCCTCCAGCATCAGTCTGAAGAGATGGCAGCTACTCATGGTGCACAGCATTTAGTCAAATGTGTGGAAATAAGTCAAACACCTGCCTCCTGAAAATTGATTGGTTGGGGTTTTTTGTTGTTGTTGCAGTTTTGCTTTATTTGGATAGTGACAGGAAAGGCAGGGGCAGAGAGGGTATGACATACAGAAAAGGGCCCTGGTCTGGATTCTATCACTTTCTCACAGTCATATAGTTTACCAACCTAGTTCACAGGTTGATATGATACAGGTTTATGATGAAGTGACACAGGTTGATTACAGGTTGTTAGTCAGCAGTTACAGACACTACATGTTAGCTCGCTTTCTGTCTCTGGTGATTTGACTAAAGTTTACTACAGTTTTAATCAAACCTAGGTTTACATAGGCGATCTGAGTGAGTGGTTAAAATAAAATGTAAATGTTCCAAGACAACATGGATTATTTCCAGGATATTTGGTCTTTATTTATACATTTACAGGTGTTTCCATGACTGGAAAACTAGTCCTTAAATAGGCAGGTTTTCCATGGGAATCCTGTTGTTGTTGTAAAAATTATATATCAGATACAGGATGTAGACACATTTAGCATCATGCTAACATTTCTTACTGTGTATCTCACTAAAAAAGTCACTAAACATTTGAAGAATATGCTCCATCAGGGTTCCAACTCTGTTCAGGAAATATTTTTCCAAGAGTTTTTGTTAACCATACAGGACAGCTATAGGTGGCCATAGATTAAAAAGACATTCAGTGTTAGCTACCTTTTGTACCTTTTCATAAGGCCCTTATTACTGTCAGTTTTATACTGCCAAACTGATTTTCAATTAAATAAAAATAAAGGAGAAGGCCTCGGGCACCTGGACAGTTGCCTGCTATGCCTGTTTGATAGTCCAGTGTCGGTGTAGAGACCCCACAGTGACACTGACAGAGAGTGGGCTTCAGTCCGGCTCGGTGCTGCCGAGTAAGGCTGCAGGATGGAGCAGGGTGGAGTACTTCAGAGGGACCTCCAGACCCACCAGAGGACCCACCACACTGAGCCACGACAACACATAGTTCACTGGCCTGTCCAAACACACACACAGACACACGCACATATAACTTAATACAGATGTTGCATGCAAGAGATTCACTGTGTTTTTGGAGAATCCTACCTGGGCTGGTCCTGAGCCGCCTGCAGCACAGGCCTCATAAACTCCTCCGTTCTACAGGGGTGGAGCATGAAGAAAGGCTGACCAAGCAGGGGATGCTCCTGACACACACACACACACAGAAGATTTCAGTGAAGCTTCAAGGAGGAACATGATGATAATAAAGCTGACTGCGGTTTTACCTGCAGAGTGATTGTATTTAGAGGACTATGCTGGAGCCGAAGTCTGAAGTTTGGATGAACGGAGCTCCACACCTCCTCTAATGACAGGCTCCGCCCCTCTGAAGAAGCAGAAAATATATCACAGAGCGAACCCTTGTAATATACTGACATGGAAATGAATAATGAATGAAATAATAATGCAATTAACAATTTTAATATTTTAGTCCAATAAAACTGCTCTTATAACATACACGTTACAGTGTGATGTGTGGGTTTTTCTTCCAAACATTTCAAATGAAAAGCAACTTGTGTAGAGCTATGCAAGTTTACCCCTATTGGTTGCCCCTCAGAACATCAGATTCCTGCAGCCACAGTGGCCTTGCTGCCCCGCCTGCACTGTCCCAGCTGACTTTGCTCTATTCTCCTCTTTTATTGAGATTCAGAATTCTTACTGGGCAACATTAAGAGAAACGCTCTGCATATGAGTGAGTGTGGGTTCGATTTCGAGCCAGGTATAAACTGCTGGACAGCCTATTTATGATATAATACTTATATATAATAATTTGACATATCAACCAGGAGACTGAATCAAACTCATAATGATGAGCCAGTGCTGGAAAGCTGGAACTTCTGAGAAGAGAAGTGCAACTGAGCTGAGGTAAGAAAGTTTGTTTAATTAACAGACAAATAAGACATCACAGGTCTGACATCTTGTGATCGTTTAGGTGATTGCATGGTGGATATGCTCATGTCCAACCAAAATCTCATTCGTCAACATTGTAATTTGACATTGTGGCACCAGAACAGAAGTCAATCA